TGAGAACTTATATTTAAATACAATTTATGGGTTTTTTTGTCATCATAGGCTTACCATGTGGACATTTTTCATAAATGAGTTCGGCGAGACATGACCTCATATTTTTGTTAGCTTTGAGACCATATTGAATCAGCTGATTTTGAAGCTTAGGTGGGGACAAATTTTGTTATTTAAATCATTTTCATTATAGGCTTGACAAGTGGACATCTTTCATATGTATATCTACAGTTTTGTTAGGTCTGAGAACATGTTGAATTAATCTCATTTAAAGCATAAATTGTTAGAGGGGACAAATTTATTTATTTAAAATGTCTACAACATCCACGAACATCTAATTTAACTTATGAATGAAGGCAAATTAAATCCAAAATGTGATGTTGTCAATGATTTCTCGGGAAATATTTGAATGAAGCTACTTTTCCATCAAACACCGTCACCCGTGAAAAAGCTTTTATATTTCCAAGACCTTCGAAAGGTCATGTCCTCGACATAGTTTTTTTTTATTGTAAATCTATTTGTACTGAGAAGAAATAGTACACAATTGAAAATCAAGACTATTGTAAGATTCTCCTAAGTCCTAGGTAATATGCTTATGCAAATTGGCTGTTTGGAATTTTATCCCTTTTGTAGGAGTTCCATGTGAACAAAAAAGCATTCTTCAAGGATTCCAAGAACATGTAGAGAACACGTATTATGCTGCGGGATGCAAAGATATACCTTGTAATTCAAGCTCCAGTTTTGCAGAAGCTCTGTCCATTGCTACAGAAGCCGAATATGTAATTGTTGTGGCTGGACTGGATTTATCACAAGAAGCGGAGGACCTTGACCGGTATAGTCTTCTCTTGCCAGGGTATCAGACGGAACTCATTAATTCTGTTGCTGCCTCAAGTAAGAAGCCACTGATTTTAGTTCTTACCGGTGGTGGACCAATTGACGTATCCTTTGCCAAGGGAGACCTGCGTATTGCTAGCATTCTTTGGATTGGTTACCCTGGAGAGACTGGTGGAAGAGCACTTTCGGATATTATCTTTGGACACCATAATCCAGGTTCGTAAATGCGACTTCCAGATCCTGGATTAGAATCATGATACACTAGATAATGATGCAATTTTTGAATGAAAACAGGCGGAAGACTACCCATGACTTGGTATCCTGAGTCGTTTACCAATGTACCAATGAGCGACATGAACATGCGAGCTGATTCTTCTCAAAATTACCCGGGAAGAACCTATCGGTTTTACATTGGAGATCGACTCTACAAATTTGGATATGGATTAAGCTACGCAAGTTTTACATACAAAATTCTAGCAGCTCCTAGCAAACTGAGTTTACAGGGTTTTATCAAGGCTGGACCACGAAGGACCATGCTTTCTGATAGAAGCAGTGCTCTTGACTATATTCTTGTTGATGAGGTGGAATATTGCAACTCATTGAGGTTCAACGTGCAAATTTCTGTGACAAATGATGGAGACGTGGATGGAAGCCAAGTTGTTCTGTTATTTTCGAGAACGTCAAAATCTTTCAAGGGTTCTCCCGAAAGACAGCTTATTGGTTTTGAACGTGTCCACACACTATCCTATAAAACTGTTGAAATGAGCTTTCTGGTATACCCGTGTGAACATCTTAGCATTGCAGATGAGCACGGAAATAGAATATTGCCTTTGGGTGATCATATTCTAATATTAGAAGACAAGGAGCATGTTCTTTCAATTGAAATGTGACAAAATCTAAATTCAGTCCAGCACTCAAATTGGATTTTCATTAGAGAGTTTCTTTGTGAATTCATCTTAATCCGGGTTCTGGACAGTGCAGTTTCCTTTGATGCAACACTTCGATCATAAAAATCGGTAGCTCTACAGCATTAAATATTTTCTGTCAGGTAACTTGTGCTTTTATTCTGATGGATATAGAGTTTGTGTCTCATGTGAGTGAAAGGGTGAGATCATCATAATGTATAAGATGACTGTACAACACATTCTACAAACCACAAATTGATTCATCTATTCTAATTTCACAAGAATATTTAACAACTTTTATTAATAACTCGTTTAAGTTGCGCATTTACGTAGTGTGTTTTATCTCCCTATTACTTTCAGTTCGGTTTTCAGATATTGTCACAAAAATAAGCTAAAACTTTGTTGATTTTATGTCTAGTTCTGTCAGTTACTACGTCCCAAGCATGTACTTGGGAGTTTTAACGTAGTCAAGTATAAGATGCAGATTTCTAAATGATCATAAACTATGGAAAATTGTTAGGGAATGCACATTGCAGCCATGTCCAAGCCAGTTCATACGTACAAGTCACAGCCCTTTACTTCTACTGATAAAGGAAGTTTCCTTTTTCCACCTATTTGTTGTGTCCCTGGGTACTAACTGCACAGGACCCTGGACAGATGGTGAAAACTAGCTGCTCGACAAATTAACGACAATCACTCAATATGATTGGGTGGGAATTTCTTCAATCAAAATAAAGTAAAATTTTCCACTCTATTTTTGACACCTCATCTGTATGTAAATTATTATGTAACTCTATTATGTATAAGTAACATTATTCTTATCCTAATAGCTTATCTAGAGTATATCATGATGGGACCCTCTAGTAGTACCATCAACTCGTTAATATACATGCCTTGCACGTCTAGTTTTAGCCCTTTTTGACATCCATTAAAAAGAGTTTTGGAATAGTAATTTTTTGGATAATGTGTGGTTAAAAAACAGAAAAAAAGTTTTGAGTTTACGTGTAAAATATTTCATTGTGTGTATAGTTGAAAACAAGTTTATGAAAAAAAAAAAAAGAAAAAAAAAGAAAAGAGTTTTGATTTAATGGATGTCAAACAAAGCTAAATCTTTTAATCTCATACTTAACACTAATTATAAAGGTGTATACACCGGTTTACACCCTCCTCACATGGAGGGGCCTACGCATATTTTATATGTGTGGGCTCCCTCCATGTGAAGGGGATGTAAACCCGTGTTTACACGATTATATACATGTAATATTATTCTTGTTTGGAAACTAGTTTAGCTTTGCCTCTTCAATTGAAAAATCCAAGAACAATCTAAGATACGCTCTTAAAAAATCAAGACGTAGCTCAAACTGGTTGGTTTAATTGAAAAATCGTCATGAGTTCAATACTAGTCTAACCTTTTAACTACTCACCCTTTATATTTTTTAATTAAGTGATTAGTCGGATTTAACAAAAAAAATAAAATAAAAAATAATTAGCTTAAAATGTCCTATTCTTTTTCCTTTATTGTGCAAATCGAAGTTTTGATTTTGGCATTTGGACCTTCCATTCGATCTTTCTTTGACAAAACATTCTTACCGTTCATTTCCTTTGTTAAAGCCTCATAAAATAATGAATTTAACCTCCTCTTTCAGTAATCAAAATAAAAAGGGGGAAAAAAAAAAGAGTAATTGCAGTTAGAGTTTCAAATTTTTTAAAAAGTGCAAATGAGTTCCATTGAGGAGACATATACTCTTCGGCCCCGTTTGATTGCACAAATTTTTTATGGAAGTAGGAAATTAAAATCTATTTTCCAACTTTTTGCATATTTAATTGGCCAAATTTTCTTAGCAACACCCCTACGTGATCCATTATTCCATCTTTTTGAGGAATTGGTTTTCCCATGGTTTGGGGGTTTTTGGTTTTCTAGATTTTTTCTAGGCAATTGAAATTTTTTATCCCCAATTATAACAAATTATATCTCTTTAATTGACAATTTCTATGGAAAACAAAGTCAAACGAATACCAAAAGATCTAAAATTTCAATATTTTTCAGGTGGAAAATTATACAAATCAAATTCATTTAATCGACAATTCTTAGTAAAACAAGTTCTAGACAATTCAATTTCCTGAAATTCGTTTTCTTTCCACCCAATTTCCATTCTTGCGATCAAATGGACCATTAGGTAAGTCTTACTCACTCTAGATGAGGTTTTTTTTTTTTTTTTTTTTTTTTTTTTAATTTTATGTAACTTTCATTGAAACCATACATATATGGGTCATTGTTATGGTAAAATATACACTTGAATTTTGACTCTATTAATTTATTTATTTTTTATTGCTTTTTATTTTCCCGTTAGTTAGAAAATTATAGGCTTTAGTTAGAAAATTATAGGCTTTGTTCACCTTTTAGGTTTAGTTAAATATGCGAAAAAAATTTCAGTATTATCTTAAAATATATATTTTGAAAATCATATTTTTTGTTCACCTTTTAGGTACAGTTATATATGATGTATCATGTCTTTACATGTTCCAATTAAAATAGTAAGACGATATATAATCAATTTTGTAAAATTTTAAAATTTGAAGACAATTATTTGAATTTGAAAAATAATCAATTTTGATAGCTTCGAATTTATAAAAATTATGCGGCATTAAAATAGGAAATTAATTTGGATAATACCAAATTCTTTGTAAAGTAGCTTTTAGAATTATATAGCCTTTTAATTTTCAACCACTCCCTAAATATTTTATAGCTTTGCTCACCATCAAGATTTGATTAAAAGTGTCAAAATAAGTAGGTGGTCGACTGGTCTACAACTAGACTCGATTTCTAAAGTCTATTACGAATTTTAGATCGATGTATTGAAAAGTATGGTCTGAAATCACTAATACCATATTTCAAATTTGTTGGTAGGACCAATCAATTGACCTATCGGTGCCATCGATGTCTAACTCGACATGGCCCGTGCTTAACGGAACAAAATGTTATCACCTCACTCTCAAGCTGACCAATAATCCCTTCTTAAGAGAGAAGAGAATGTTGACTACGATGTGAAAGTGCACAAGGAATACATCTTGATAACAAAAAGGAGAAAAAGTAGATATAAAGAAGAAGAACGAAAAAGAAATTTGTAGAAAAAGAAGAAAATGACAAAGAAAATGTACAAAAATATTGTATGTGATGCATATGAAATTGATGTGCACCCCAACCTAACCCAACCCAACCCACCCCACCCCACTACTACACTTCATTATGTCTGTTTTTCCTCATAAATTAATACATATATCTGATTGATCACTATTCATTTCTTCATCCAAGTCTTTGTGAGGATCAGAAATGAGTACAGAACCACCAAAATATGCCTATCCCTATCCTGCTCAAGGTATTTTCATCTTTATATTTGTTAGTTCTTGATTTTTGCACCCTACACACACTAGTTTTTGATCTGTGGTGCATATGCACACACACATATATATAATATATACATGAAAGTAGTCAAATCCTTGTAAGAGACTTTCTTAGATGCACATATGCATACTTATACTAACATACAACATAATATTTACTGGTTATTACCAAGGACCTCCTGTAATGGCACCTCCACAGTATTATGCTGCTCCCCCTCCCAGGAGAGAACCTAGTTTTCTTGAGGGATGGTACTCTCTCTCTCTCTCTCTCTCTCTATATATATATATATATATATATATATATTTTATGTAATTTTGATTTGTCTATATATTTTTTTAGTCTTGCAGCTTTGTGTTGCTGTTGGATCATTGATGAATGTTGCTGTGATCCCTCCATCATTTTCATCTGCTGATTTATCAATAATTTTGCTATGATTTATGTGTATGATCTGCACACTGATGTATTAATTGCTCTACAACTCAATATATTTCATTTATATTAAATTATTTAGAAGAATGCATGTGTATTTTATACTTTGCCCTGTTTGATGCCTAAAAAGGGATTTTTGGGGGGAGAAAAAAATGTTCCGAAATAGTGATTTTTCAAAAAATGTGTGATAAAAATGTGATTGAAAATGAGTTTTAGAAAAAAAAAATATTTTGAAGAATGGTAGACAAATAGGGACTCCGTATCGTTTGAATTTTAAATTAACAAACGATCATATGAACATTCACAAATTGATGTAATTATTGAGTCAGTTGATCATTTGTAATATATACGAACAGTAATGCTACTTGTACATTCAAATTTATCTCTTGAGTGATAGAATGCACAAGTCACAAGATTCCATGAGCTAATGAAACTTTATTTTTGTCCACCGTTTTATGAAATCTTGCCATGTATGCATGCTGTCACCTATATAGTAAAGTTGAGTGTATATGTAGCATTTCTCAATTACGATTAGAGTACCTCAAAATGACAAGAGGATTATACCACGTCACCATAAATTGACGAAATATTGAGCCTTGGTTGAGCTCCATTCTTTGAAAAAAAAATGTATTTTAAACAATATTTTGACATCATTTCAACCATACATTTAATAGAATAATATTACACGCAACTTCACAATTTTTTCTTATGTTTTAATCACACATTTTTTATCAATACATTATTAAAAAAAACATTTTTCCCAAAATGGGGTCAAACAAGGGCTGAATTATGTGATGCAAAAGTGATACACAATGATGTGAAACTTGTCTTTTGCCCCCCACAATTTTGAAATTTTTGGCTTAATCATGACACGGAAGAAAGATCTGATGAAATTTCTTTGATCATGAAGGTTCGAAGATAAACTAATTAAAAAATCAAGCTTAACAGATTTGACTTTTCCAGAGTCATTATATTTCATTTTTATTAAATTAATTAGAAGAATGCATGTGTATATGATACTTTGCCCGTTTGATGCCCATTAAAAGAGATATTTGGAAACAATGCGTTCTTAAATAATGATTTTTCAAAAAATGTGTTATGAAAAAGTGCAATTGAAAATGAGTATTTTTTTTATTTTTTTAAAGAATTTTTGAAAAATGATAGACAAACATAAATGTTATATCGTTTGAATTTCAAATTAAAAAATGGTGGTATTAACATTCATGAATTGATGTAATTATTAAGTCCATCGATCATTCGTATTACACGAATTACGAACAATAACACTACTTGTACATTCAATTTATCACCTAAATGATAGAATGCACAAGTCACAAGATTCAAAAGGCTAATTAAACCTTGTATTTGTCCATCATCGTATGAAATCTTGCCATGTCTGTACGCTGTCATCTAGTTGGTAAACTTAAGTGTATGTATATTTCTCGATCAAGAATAGAGTACCTCAAAGTGACAAGAGGATCATACCATATGTTGATAAATTGATTAAATATTGAATCCGTTTTTCTAAGCGTTCAGAGGCCCGATTCAGATTACTCACAAAAGAGTGGCCCAACAAAATAAAAAAAATGTCAAAAGTCATATTGAATTATACGATAAACTTATCTTTTGGCCCACAATTTTGAAATTTTTGGCTCAATCATGACAGGGAAGAATTTTCTTTGATCATGAAAGTTCGAAGAAAAATTAATTAAAAAATCACCCTCAACAGATTTGACTTGTCAAGCATCCAACCCAACATGAATCTACAATTTATGAACAAATATAACATTCATAAAATAAAATGTTTATTTAGACATACGAGTTATAAAATAAAAATTTATTCATCCAATCGAGACTAGTTTGATACTTGTAATTCGGAAGAACTGGTGCATACTTTTTAACATAATCTCAACCTTGAGTACCTTTTATAGGCATTTTAACAATACAATACGATAAATAAGCACAAGAATTCAATTATTGGTGTTATGAGGTTCTTTGAAAAATACAGTCGAGTATTGATTACCAAACATTAATAAAAATCCAACCCTTTAAATTCATGCAGAGGCCGCAACTTGCAACAAACCATTGTGCCTGAGCAGTGCCTCTGGAGAGGGTTCTCGTCCTCGGAATTCCACGAATACCTGAAACAAGCATTTCGGCAAAATAAAAATTTGAGATCAATGTAAACTACAGAAATTAGTGTCACTTCATAGTGAGAAGAAATAGCCTCATTATGTCGAACCTCTAGGGGTGATTTTCCACCTCCAAGGGCAAGAATGGTTTCTCGGAATCTATGGCCAGTTTCTTCTACCGCCTGTTATAGCACATTAACCATTGTGACATTACAGATCATATAACACACATGAGTAACCTCTCCTGATAAATTTGGTGGCAGTAAAAATAAACAAATGAACAAAGGTATCATCAACTGAGATTTTAATGTATTTTGGAAGTACTTTTAAAGTTAGGGGTTCCAATTGAAACTTTAATTGATTTTTTAAAATCCATTAAAATCTAGGTTTTTCCAACACGAGATTTTAACAAATTTCAATGAAATCTTTTAAATCTAAGCATTCTCAATAATTCGTGAATTTATAAGAATTTCATTGTTAAAGAGATTTCAAAAAATTTATATGAATTTCAAGCTTAAAAATACAAATTCACTCTTAAAATTTCATCATTTTTAATGAAATTCTTTTGAATTCTATGGAAATCTATTCAAATTCACAAAATTCATTAAAAATTATAATCTCTTCAAATTCATTAAAATCGTGGGCAGGAATGCATGTATGCCTAATCTATGCAACGAGGGTACTCTATTCAGCAATACAGGATGCTCATGCATGACTTCATGAAGTATTTCCATACAATCGGTTCTTTTTTCCAAATTTTACTATTAGCAACTCCTATGTTCAAAGCAAGATGACATCTAATTAGGCCACAAATTACAAATGTCTCGAATAGCTTTATTGCTATTTCATGCGGCAATCCACATTGATGAGGCTGGAAATTTTGTTAATATCTAGCTAAGACATAATTTTGTATTCAGAATCAGTAGGAAAATTGCTTATTTGTACTTAAGCTTAGCATAAAATAAGATATTTAACAACTGCAAGCATCCATACCTTATCATCAGTTAAACCAGCATCCTCAAAAGCTGAGAAAGCATCGGCAGACAAAACTTCAGCCCACTGCACAAATTGGGACATCAACAACCCTTAGAGCCAAGAATGTTTCTCAGTCTATAAAGGCATGTGCCAAGTTTCTTAATATATATATATATAGAGGATTTTGCTAAGTGTACATAATAAATGTACATAAAGGATGACATATGGTGATGTAGAGGGAAAAGATATGGTTAAAAAAGTTGATTGTGTTTTAAACAGGCAAATGGTAGAGTGCCACATGGTATTATGGACACTCCTATGTATATGCTTATATACTTATAGCAATACTCATATATGGATTATTCTCCTTGTACATTGAGGGTGCCATTAATGTACACATAGCACAACCCCTCATATATATATATTACTTCTTGGAAATAACTCTTACCTTACTATAAAAATAAGTAGCTTGCTTATTTCCAACATTGACCAATAAAAAACCTTTATTATTTCAAACCTTAATTATTTATAAGTAAAATTTATCAGCTTAACCATGCATGCTTTTAGCTGCAAACCTAATTTTCAAGTCATTTGCGCAGAATTCGACCATATAAAAAGATCAAAATGGAACATTAAAAGGCAAAACTTACAATACCAAGAAAAATGAGAAGAGCTCAACAGATAAAAAAACAAAATACCTTGTAACTGTAGTAGCCAGCAGCATATCCACCAGCAAATATATGGCTAAAACTGCAAAGGAATTTGTCCTGCGGAAGTGGAGGAAGCACTTGCGTTTTTTCACAAACTCTCCTATCGACATCATATATTGATTCTGAACCACCTGGGACGTACTTGGTGTGCAACTCTAGATCAACAGTTGAAAATCTAAGCTGCAGTATGCAAGAGAAGGAAACTGATAAAGAAGTTTTAATGGAAAGTCAGTATCCACTTCATCTTCATTGATACAGCAGGAGGAAAGCTTCTAGTTGCGAAGTTAGACAAAGGAAAGAATACATTAATAAACAAAAGTATCATTTGAATTATTGTAATTGAAGAAGTTTTGAATGAACGAGAATGAAACTTGAGAAGAAAGAGAGAAAAAAGGGAGAGAATCAAGAGAAATCTATGATGTGCTGACACGGATATGTATGTCTAACACAATATGTGTCGGATACATAAACGTGATTTTCCAAAAAAGTGATGACACGACATATTGATTAAATTTTTTAAAATTCTTCATTTATATAGTATAAATTAAATTTTATACTTGTTATTGATTTTTCTTGTTGGAATCCTTTAAATATGAGTATATATTTGTTTTTTACTAATAAAAAAATGATTATGGTAGAGTGTTTGAGAAGTATTGGCATCTGACACGTATTAGACATGGACACGGACACGCTACCCTAATTAAAGTGTCCGTGCAATAGAGCGAGAAATTAAAGGGAGAAATATGAGTTTATTCAATATCAAGTCAAACTATTACAATACATAAGTTCCCTTTATATAGGTTTTAAACTAACCTAATTTAAGTAGGAAACAACTAATAAAATACTAAAAAATCTATAATACGAAACCCTTGTTATATTTCCTTAAGTATTTAAATTGGAAAGTTTTCCATATAATATCTATACTAGGAGTTCCAATCAGTTCCCAAAACAGAAAAGATAACTTCAGGTGGTCTGCAGATCCTGAGTAATAGGCAGAGGCAATGTGAAGCGGAGTTAAATGCGTGACAAAAAACTTATATCCAACCTCAGCATTAAAAGAAATCCAAAGACATACAGATTACCACTGGCAATGCCAGATTGTTAGCTTTGTTATTAACTGATTGGCCAATGAAACATTTCATAACATGCCATCATAAGTCTAGGCCATAATGACAAGATCCTTGACTAATTACATCTTATGATACATCAAGCAATGACTGGCAAAAACCAGCTGAATAAGAAAGGCTAAAAAAAACTCGATGAGAAAGAA